GCAGATTACTACATGCTCGAAACATTGACCCTCAATATAAGGAAATCATAAAAGAAATTAAAGTACACAACCTGAAAATTTGTCCTTTATCATCCCCTTATGTAACATATGGAGAACAGATATAGAAAACTTATGCAAAAGGTTCCACCTAAATGAGTAGGTAACTTTAAGGCAGCGGTGCCCAACCTTGTGCTCGCCGATCGTTTTGTATGTGCTCGCCAGCCCGATTAGGTACTATGAACAAAAAATATTGTAAAACTAACCATTCATTTATATTTCTTAATTGTTAAAATATGGTAAGCATTTATAATCATAAGAGATGTCTTACAAGATTTTATAAAATAATTGATTGCTGACTGATGATAGCGAACATGGAATCTTATTGCTTCATTCCGATGTTAGATGGCTCAGCAGGGCAAAAGTACTTCAACGATTTGTAGAACTTCTTTCGCCAATAAAGCAGTTTGGGGAATCCGGAAACGAAACTTATATACAATTGGACGATAATAATTGGTTATCCGATTTGTATTTTCTCACGGATATAACTGCTAAACTGAATAAACTGAATGAAGATCTCCAGGAAAAAGAAAAAAACTCTTTTTCAATTGACTGGGACTGTAACTGCTTTTCAGATAAAGTTAAATTTTTGGATAAATCAGATGGAAGAAAACAATTTCACCCATTTTCATAATTTACCAAGCCCTAATAATAACCACAAGGCAGCTGAAACAGAGAAATACTCGGAAAACCTAAATGCACTAAATTTTCAACTCCGCTTCCCTGATTTCCATAGCGTTCAACCAATATTATTAATCTCAAACCCATTTGCCGAAATTAATATTTCAGATGTATAACATAAGACTGGAAATATATTTAGCAAAAATGTTGATGTTTTGGAAATGTGCTCGCGATAGGCCAAAATGTGCTCGCGAGAGACCAAAGGTTGGGCACCACTGCTTTAAGGGAATTTAGAGTTTTTAAAGACATTAATGAAGAGGAAATAAATTCTGCATTACGGAAACTTTTGTCATCAGTAGACAGTATACCTGTTTCTAGAAGCACGGAAGAGGATTTTCGACAATGAACTTAATTTGCAATTCGTAGTACGCATCTCTTCGTGTTAAAAATCTTTCTAATTTAATGTTCATTGGACTCGACGGTTCTTCTCCCAAAAATCTCTCAGCCAGCGACTTATGTATGTTCGCGGTTAGCAACAAGTCATCATAGTGCAGTGGACATTCAGTTGAAATCGAGCAAAGAATAAACAAAAGATCGAGATTTGACTGCATTTTGCGGAAAGTATTTCAGTGATGTACTTCATAAACGTTAATACGTAAATTATTGATTAGCAGAATTAGAAAAATGAAACTCAAACAATTTAAAACTCATTAACAACTTCCTTTAACGAAACTTCGAATTACGATTTCTGAAAATCTGAATTCGACTATATTAAAAATTAATTTTTAATAATATTGTTACGTTTTTCTCTCTTCTGACACCAGTTGTTGCATTTTTCTTTTCTTCTGACACCATTTGGTACGTTATTTTCTTCCTTCGCGTTCGTACGGGGTTCGTAGATTTGGAGTGAATAACGACGACACTTGATGAAGTATCGAAACACACTTTATTTACCAATATTGATCAGGATAGCTCCAAAACACTTTTACAGTCGTCGAAGATCTACTATATACACGCTGGAACAATCAACGACACAGCCTTTTCACTGTCAGGCAATAAGGGTGGAGACAGCTTCACTGCAAAGCACCAGAGTACAGCTCCCGACTCTGCTTGGTCGTTGTCGGAACTCCACGTACTCTCGAGACTCTCCACGCTACAACTCGCGATGCACTCGATGACACTCGGAGCACGGCTCCCTACTCTTCGGTTCAGTTGTTCCCGGAGCTCAACACACTCTCGCGACGATGCACTAACCGCGATACACTAACAGACTCCCTCGGTGCACTCGACGATCCACTCGGCACTCGCTGGCTGGCTGTCAACTCGATCGACTCCGCATGGGCTGACTGCGGAACAGCAGGGTTTATATAGCTTTCGGCTTATGTTCGAGAACATTCTGGGCTAAACCGGTAAAACTCGTTCAAAAAATTCTCCATCCGTCCATGGAATGTCGCCAAATGGGCGATTACTCGCCAAATTTGGCAACCCTGCCTTCCCTTGCCATTTTGTGGCAACCCTAAAACTGCTTTGCGGGAAAGCTATCTTACCACGCCTGTGCATTTCGTAACACTATGCATTATACATTTTTAACTAATATGAAACAGTTTTGTTTGCATACATTATGTTTATATTTCAAATTTCCAGCATTTATTATTGACAGCTTAGGGAAAAAATTGCTTAATTTTTTTTATCTGTGTGAAGAAATACGCTACTTAATATGAATACTCACATAATAAGTTTTTACTACCTTTTTTATTTCTGTGTTTTAATTAGTATAATTTATCATGTTTTAATTGCACACTTAATAAAAGTATAAATTCAAAAATGTTACTTACTCTAAGTTATGTCAACAGTTACATAAATTTATATCTCTTAACCTTCCTTTGATTCACGCGTTGGGAAAAGATCAACTTAGCCAGTTTTCTTATATGACTGAATATAGTAAGTATTGTTCCGATAAAGATATGTATAAATTCGAAATTTAAGTTGTTTTCCTAGAAGTGTTGTTGTATGATACAATTTGCAAAATTTTCCAACAAATGATGCAACTGTCAAATTTTCGAAAAATGTTTACTATAAAAGTAAGCACCTTGAACTGCAAATTAATTGATGAGATAGAACTTCAATAATTTAAAACTTATTAACAGTTTAGTTGGATAAACTTGGAATCAATTTACCAGAAAATCCGAATTTTTACATGTTTAAAACTTACGTGTTTTTTCCATGTGGTCGTAAATATTTTTGCAACATTTTCCTACATGTTATATTTATATATCGTTTCTCTGATATTCACAATTAAAAGTTTAAAAGCAAACAGAATTACTTTTGCTCACTATGTAATTGATAAGAAAGTAGCATGGTGCATTAAGATTGGTCCTTACGTTGTGTATAAACTTTCATCATTAGCCTTTTAATTTCTGTATATTTTAAACCTTTTAAATGATGTGAAAAACTGAAGTTCAGTAGCATAAGTAACATTAAGAGCTAAGTCAATAATCAGGAAACTGAAGTCAATGAAACTTAAACTCCAAATTGCCCGAGATATACTTTTGCTAATCCTGTAGAGTCATTAGATATTTTTTAAGCAGGAGACATGAGAAATTCGCAACGCCCTAGCCGGGATTCGAACCTTTACCTCTCGAATGCGTGCCGAGTGTGCAAACCGTTACACCATGAAGGCAACCAGAAAGGAGGGAGAAAATACCTAATATACTCCCCATTTTAAAGGCCGACTGAGAATTCGCTGACTCAGGCGCTAAATCCTGGTGGTGAAAAATCATCATACACCACCTTTTAGTGTGCTAACCGTTACAACACGAAGACATGCAGCAGGGAGGGAGAAAGTATGAAAATATATATTATGTATGTGTATATATATATATATATATATCTTTTGACCAAGAGTAAAAAATGACTGAAATTTATCTTTTTCTTTATATATATACATCGTTTTGCATGTTCCATGATTTCATTGCTAAATCATACAAAAAATGAGTACAGATAAATCCTTTTCTGATAAATTAAAAATCTGCTTAAGACCTATTTATGATAAATATATCAGTTTATATGTTATAGAAATATAATTCTGAAAGAATTTCCAAGAGATGCAAAAATAAGAATACTTAAGAGTGCAAAAATAAGATAATCGAATACTTAAGCATCATTTGATCTTTTCTTAATAAAAAGCTTAAATTTCTTTATTTCGTAATTTGAGGCATAAGGGTTGGAAATAATTGTGCAGGAATATAATGGTCATTATCAAAAATCTAAACTTGGTAAAGTTCTTTGTAGCTGTTGTCAAACGATAGATAAAATTTAATGTTCAAAACATAGCTGGTGTGAAAAGCTAGGTCAAATTTAAAATTTTATTTAAAAGATGTAATTACTATTTTTTGTGTTTCTCTAGAAAAATTATTTACGATAAATATTTTTACTCACAGATATGAAGATCAATATTGTTTCAGAAATAACTAAATTAAATAATAAAAGCATATATCAGGAACAAAAGCATATATCACAATTTCGAACGTACTAAAATTATCTGTTATCCTTTGTAAAAGAATTATTAATTTTCTCATATCACATTTGTTCATGACTGATTTTCATTTAAAAAATATATTTATTATTATTACATATTGATTATTACTACTTATAATTTATTTAATAATAATGATTTACATTTTTATAATTATTTAATTTTAATTTCTAGTAACTAATTTTTTAATTATTATTTTGTTCATACCAATTTTTATTATCCAGTCCTAATGGTTTAACATATGGCTCTGGCATTTCTGATTTTAGGAATTAAGCTGATTTTTTTAGCAATATGTTTTTCTCTACCTCTTTCTATTGTAGATATACAGTGTTTAACATATATGGCATAGAAGTATGTGTCGATCGTTTGCAATTGTGTCGACATGGCGATCGACTGCGAAGCTTCCGATCAAAAGTAGACTCTTAGCAATTAAGAATCTCAGAAATCGAAAGTCAAAACGTTTTGACAGTTAAAAATTACACTTCGACAACCTAAAATATCGGCAGACTCAATCCCTAAATTTTTCAGAGGTCAACTGAACAGATGCGCAGAGAGGAAAAGAAAGATTTATTTATTTTTTTACATACAGAACTTTAAGTTCACCTTTCTTTTCTTCTTTGTGCCCTACAATCTTCCTAAAATAGCGCTAAACTATGCAAACAAAGTAATTAATTAAAATCACTCAGAAGAAAATGCTATTAAAGCATGTTTGTGAAATGTATATATCATCTAGAACTACCAGGTAAAAAAAAAAAAATTCTTAGTACTTTTTTTTCTTCTTTTTCAGGGGAAGGCCTAGGAGGATGCTTACTGGACGACATTCAAAGGAAGGTTCACAACAAGAAAAGGCTGTGCATAGCTCAGATAAAGCCATCTCTAAAACCGAAGAAAGAACAAAAAGAATGGGGTTAGTATTCTTAAAAGCAAACTAAAAGAGTTCTCTTTTAAACTAGATGAACACTTACCGAGAAAAAGGCTAGAACGGAAAAAATGATCGAATTATCAATATATTGTACGATTATCATTATTTGTGGGCTAGTAAAATATTTAACGCACTCCGCTCGAAAAACTGTTATTCCGAATTTTTATTTCAGGATGAAGTGATTGCAAAAAACATTTATGATTAATTCTAAGCAGTTTTGTTTAAATTTAATCTATATCTTTTTCTCCTCTCGTACACGCCACTGTCATCAGAATCTGAGCGTATGATCATGAAGTAAAGAATAAAAATGTCTCAGAAGAAAACGCCAGCGTGATCAGGGATTCTTGAGACATTTTAATAAAAACGTTAAAATCTGACAAGAAAAATGTACAAGTTTGGGGAAATGTGCAGTACTCGATTTATTCGATGAAATAAATATATGATACTTAGAAAAATACGCAACACCCATTTAACTCAAGGAATTAGAAGATAAATCAAAGCAGCGATTCAGAGCAGAGCATAAAATTATGTTTAATCAAAGGTTCTTTGTTTCACAAGTAAGTGTTGAATAAAAATAATTATTAAGTATGCAAGCTGAATTAAAAGTGGAAGTGTATTGAGAACTCAATGGTAAATTTCTTCAATTCACATCGCAATTCTCAAAACACTTCAAACACGCAAGTGTTTTAGTAAATTACAACTATTTTCTGAGCAATATATCCAGTGCTGTGCCCCTTACTAGCTTGCTAATTATGTAAGTCAGTGAATCGACTTTCTAAATAAAATGTAGCATTTAGATTTCCAAATGCAGAAAGTTAGGAACCATTTTTTAAGTCTCAGCAATAATATGAAAAATTCCAGATTTCTGTTAATTATAACTGATCATTTTACTAAACAGACTGAAATTATACCGATAGCCAGAAATTCTGAAAACAATTTAGAATCATTTGTAACCGGGCATGTATTATCGTTTGAAACTGCATTAAAACTGTCAGATATGAGTATGTAGAGTATTAAGTTCGTAAATATTATATTAAAGGAAATGTTTGCAGCTTTGGAAACGAAACGGTCCCAGTTTCATAATTCTACCATAGTTAATCATAACGCTGTGAATATAATCATAACTTATATCAAATATTTTCATACGAGTTCGGGACTGCATTATCAAGGAGTTAACTACGGAAATGAGAGCAAATCAACTCAGTATTGCATGATAAAACTTCCTTCTTAAATGAAAGGTAATTGCATCTCTTTACAGACTGTACTATGTTCAAAATTCAGAACCAGACTTTAAGATTAAAGTTATAAAAATACAACAGAGGAAACTGCTGAAAATTATAACAAAGGCATAAAAAGAACTAAGAACTGGATCGATAATGAAATCCAACAGAAATAGGCGAGAAAGAAAAAAAGAGAGAGAGATTTCAGAGTGAAAGGTAAAAGAATTTAGCTCAAAATATACCGTCTGAAAATGTAAATTCTCCTACAAAATGACAGCAAGTAGTCCGGCATTTCAGAAGGGAAAGAAAATTTTATGAAAATGATGTAAAATGACAACATAGTGGAATGAAATTGAAGTAAAAGGTAAACAAACACTAACAGGATAGTAATAAGGAGGAACCTGCAAAATCTAAAGAAAGATAAACAGCAGAGGCTCAAACCCCCGGAAGAATGAAAGATCTATGTCTACTACCATGGCTCAAACAACATTTCCAAACCAAGGACATCCAAACGGCTCCGGATTCTAAGGAAGCTAAGCATCACAGTGAGACAGCGAAGCAGATAGAAGTCAAAAATAGGTCTCAAGACACCAAAAGAACTCTTCGTCCAAGAACCCATGTAGTCTAGACATATGACTTTTTGTGGTAATTTAGTAACTGGAAAGTAAATTTAAGCTCTCAAAAGAAGAGAAGAATATGGACTATAAGAATGGTCACTGGATCAAAATCAACACGGAAAAAAAAAATTGTGTTAATTTTATACTGCTGATTTCCAGCAAAATCAGTAGCTCATTTCAGAATTAAATTTGGTCTTTTCAGAAGAAATAAACCGAAATCATATCTAGGAAAACTATTAACAAACTAGAAAATAATGTTGGAAGCGCCAGAATAGATAAATTTACAAACAGGATTTCAATAAATGAAGGTACGATAAGCTGTTTTAGCAGTAAACTGAGGAAAAAAAAAAAAAAAAAAAACTGTAGTCGCCTGGTCGCCTGATATTTCTTCAGACGATGATATTTTTAAATAAACGGCATATAAATTTTATCATAAGGTATTTCCAAAATATAAACTATGCAAATATTTATAACTGTATGTATAAAAACTTATTTGTATGGCATAAAATAGTAATACAGCTAAATATAGAAATACTCTTCACAATGAATATATAAAGATTATTCGAAGTTATGAATAGGTTGGACTGAAAGTCTGAAGTGTTCTCTAAGAAAATTAATCTTAATTTTTGCTACTGTAAGCATTGCATGTTCAAAATACAATCCAGATGTTCATAGAAACCACGCAGAGAATTTATTCAGTGGTAAAGTGCTTTTAACAGCACAGGTGACTTGTTTAAAAATGTTGTATATGCATATGAAATATGTAAATTATCAAAAAATTTTCAATTAAAAGCATACTCATAATTTTTCTTTCTAGGCAACAATCAATCGTTCATAGCGGAGAAGTGGCCCTCTGTAAAATCAAGGAATAAGAAAAAGAAACGAGGTAAGTACATTTAACATAAAGACGAAACAAATTTTTGTTAAAGAACCAATTACTGAGAAAAATATGAAAAAGAAGCAGGGATTGGGTAATCAAAATTGTACAGCTGTCACCATTTTTCCCACGCGGAATACTACTATTTGGAATTCGTTTCGTGGAGTATTATCCAGACTTTCTTTTTCATTCTGCAGATTTATTTATTTTTCTAGCAAGTTTTGCTTGAGTTAGAGCTTCCTTTGTATTTTTCTCGTCACATCTTTTTCCTTATAGAATTTCATTTCCAGAATAACTTTAGCATATTTAAAAGAAGCAGTTAATTAAATCGACTCAGAAGAAGGTTCCTATAGTGACATTACTGCTTTGTATGGAATTTTATGCTAATTAAGCAGTTATTTATAATTTCAGCCTTTACCATAACATCTCTTAAGCTGATGTCGAAGTTCGAACAGGTTCGACGGTCACGTTTATCAAGAGTTTAAAGCTGTGTGACTCCATTTTTCTCCCCTACATATTGAAAGATATAAAATCAGACATCAAACTACGATATGGATGATACAAGTTCAACTAGTAAAGCAAAAAAGCACGAAAATTCGAGTTTAAATTATCGCGAAAAGTCAAAGAACGATTCATCTTAACCCGTGTTCCTCAATTTCATGTACACGTGGCGAAGGTGGAAAATCTTGGCCAGGTGCATCACAAAGGGGGAAATTCTCGCCAACAGGTTCAGTCGCCAAATCCCTTGGTCGCCTTCCCTCTTCTTTCTAGCGGCGTAAAAGACAAACTGGTTTACATTACGTCTATGGAGCCTACCCTTCTTTACATAGACTTTCTTTGGTCGAACCTGTTCGAACTTCGACATCAGCTTCGAGTTTTGGCGCTTTTTGGCGACAGATATTTCACGTATGCGCAGTTGTGTCCCTGTTCATTCGGAGGAAGCCATTCCTGCTGCTGCGAAGCTTTCCTTCTTAACAATTCATATTCTTTGGCTAGAAGTGGTAGCTTCTTAACAATACATATTCTTTGGCTAGAAGTGGTAGCTTCTTAAGTTGTTGAAATAACTTCCGACTATCTTGTGAACCGGTCTATGATAGTCACGTGGAACTCAGATGGAGGTAGAGGCCCTATAAAATCCATACGTATGCGGGCAAATCAAGCATCAGGTTCAGCAAATGTGCCAATACGGGGAGATTTGGTATGTTTAGCAATTTTAGCTGGTTGACATTTATCCCATCTGCACACAAAAGATATTACTTCTTTTCGCGTGCTTGGTCAGGCTGAGATACTGGGATGAGAGAAAATATAATGTTTTGAAAACCATTTAATCTCATGCACTGAGCAACATAAGGATGGGAATGTTTTGGGAACATATCGCAATTCAGATGAATATCCTCGAGAGGGAAATAATTTTTCTCTAATGTTAAAGAAGAAATATTGGATCCTAAAATTTTTGACATTCTTCGCCATTTGATTAATCAGCAGCGAATTTTTGAAAATCGAGCACAGTACATGAAATGTCATCTATCTCAATTTGGGATAGTGCATCGGTGACAATGTTACCAGAGTCATCAATGTTAATTGGTGAGGACTGTATTTGTCAGGATATGGCTGGAATGCAAATTAAAGGTGTTTTTGATCAGTGTGGATGACAAAATCCCTCCCTAAAAGCATATGCCTTATTTATTTTTTACTGAAGACTGTATAGTATAAGAGTTCATGATCATAAGTGGACCAGTTCGTTTTTTAGAAGATTTACTTAGTTTTATTGAATAAAAAGCTAATCCATTCTTGGGTTAGCAAGTTGCACGAGGAAGCTGGCGATTGCTCATCAGACGCATCAACCCATAGACTTAATTGTGCATTGGACATTGGATGCCAGAACAAAGTTGCTGTAGCTTACTTAGTCGCTTAGGAGAGTGTTGCTTCATCGTCCAATTGTAATTGCTCTGTTGAAGCTTTGGAACGAGAATGTCTCTTTTTATTAGCCTTCGAGGAATTTGACTAAGCGTGCTAAAATGCGAGCAGCCTTAGGAATACAGCGGCTATAAAAATATAGTCTGTCCAGGTGCTGTATAATCTATCCAGGTGGAACATGCGCCAGCGGGAAGAAAAGAAAACCGAAAGTGTAACTGTAAAACAGTTCAAGGCTGGTCACCACTGAAGAGGTGAATTAGTTGATTTGACTCCTGTATATTAATGAAGCAGCATGGACAAAATTAAGCATAAAAATATTGTTGCGTGCGTACGGGTTCGTTATGAAATGAATGCACAAGTCCGATGAAAAATGAACAAAAAAAAAAAAATTATTATTATCACAACAAAAATGCTTAAATTTTCTCAAATTATCATGCAGTATTACAATATCTCACAGTAGTTATCTTTTAACTACTCAAATGTCCAATAGAACGCAATTAAAAACAGCTAAAGAACGCTAATCCGCGAATTCGCTACAATCAACAACAGTAGTTTTCTAAACAACAACAAACTAAGCAACTACTACTACTACAAACTGAGATGTTTTCCTCCTTTTATAAATAAGATTTTAAAATCACGCGCTAGAATTTTCCAGTACTTTCTCGAAATCAAAAAGAGATATTTATTTATTTAATGCACGCGCTCTTGTAATTTCAATTTTACGGCTTAGCTTTCTTTTAATATTCGTCACGCGTTGCACTGCGCGAGAAATAAAATCATTTAATTTGTAATTGAACTAACATTAGCTTTTTAAATACCAAATTCGTAACACTGCCCCCTTCCCAAGGACTGCACGTCCCGGGCAGTACAATCCCTGGACAGGAAGCTAAACTTACAACTGTGGCATAAATGCATTAATAAGCATTACATTACAATAATAAACAACATGAACAAATAAATGCAATACATAAAACAAATCAAATAAAATACATACACATTTAAAAACAAAATGGGCCATGGTCTTATACTATTTACAATTATTTACATTACGTACTATGGCCATAGTAATGAGCTAACCTGTCGTAATGAACGACTTTAGGTTTAGAGTTCGAAGACTTACGAATCCGAACCACGACGTCATTCAGCCTTTTTAGGACTGTATACGGGCCATCCCAAGGTGACTGTAATTTCGGACAAAGTCCTTTCCGTCGAGTCGGATTCCACAACCACACCTTGTCTCCTTCGTGGAATTGATGTTCAGTAGCTCTTGTGTCGTATCGGGTCTTCATCTTCTCCGTCGCCAAGTTGACTCGCTCTCGTGCAAATTGTGCATCACTTCAAACCGGGCCTGGAGATCTTGAATATATTCCTCAGACGATGAAGGAGCATCCGGAGGGCGGCCAAACAATAGATCACAAGGCAGACGAAGGTCACGACCGAAGAGCATCTGTGATGGAGAATAGCCGGTAGTCTCGTGGACAGCACTGCGATAAGCCAGTAAAAAGAGTGGTAATTTCTTGTCCCAGTCCTGTTGGTTTCTGGAAACCACTAATGAGAGGTTATTAAGGATGGTTCGATTGAACCTCTCTACCATGCCGTCCGACTGGGGATGCAATGGCGACGTTTGAGTTTTGTCAATGCCAAGTAGTTTGCATAGTTCTTTGATTACTACCGAGGCAAAATTCCTTCCCTGATCGGAATGTAACTGAAGAGGCACTCCGAACCTGGAAATCCAGTGCTGTATCATTACCTCAGATACTGTGACTGCCTCTTGATCAGGAATAGGATAAGCTTCAGGCCACTTGGTGAAGTAATCAATGACAACGAGTATGTATTTGTTGCCATCAGCAGTTCGTGGCAGAGGTCCCAGGATGTCAAAGGCGATACGTTCAAAAGGCGCACCTACGTTGTAACGTTGCAGTCTGCCTCGGCTGCGTTTCCTCCTCGGTCCTTTCCGACCTGCACAGGCATCGCAAGATCGGCACCACTTTTGCAACGTCATTCTTTGCATTATTCCAGTAAAAGCGCTCACGAACTCTCTGTAAGGTCTTCATAATTCCAAAGTGACCTCCTGTAGGGCTGTTATGTAGTTCTTTGAGGACATCAGGAATCCGGGATCTTGGAAGTATCAGTTGCCATCGGAACGTCTTCCCATCATCCGACTCGAATTTCCGGTATAAGACGCCGTTTCGAATGTGAAGTGAATCCCAGAGTGCCCAGTATTGTTTTGTTTGTAGGACTACAGATAGAAATGTCCTGCCATGTAGGTTTTCTGTTTGATGACTCTATTAAATCAAGTATGGGTTTAATGTCGCGGTCTTCCAGCTGGTCTTTCCTGACTTCATCATCACTCCACGGGTCTCTCGATCAGCCGATGTTGATGTTTGTAATTTGTCTTGCGACCGGAGTCAGCAGCTCGTATTTCGCTTCCACCCTGGAACAATATCGGCAGCTTTTCCGGCAAGGTCGTCTAGACAGGGCGTCGGCGTTCCCGTGTGATGATCCCTTACGATGACGGATAGTGATGTCATATTCTTGGAGTCTCTGTATCCACCTGGCTATTTGACCCTCAGGATTCTTGAAATTTAAAAGCCAGGCCAATGAGGCATGGTCCGTGTGGAGGAGGAATTTTCTCCCGTATAGATAATTGATGGAAATGTTCTACAGCTTTGACTATGGCGAGCAACTCTTTTCCTTGTGACACAGTAATTCCTCTCCGGTTTAGACAGGCACTTGCTCCAGTAACGCTACTACACGTTCTTGGCCGTCTATTTCTTGGGACAAAACAGCACCGACACTTTCATTGCTCGCGTCGGTGTCGAGAATAAATGGTCTGTCGAGCTGAGGATACGTCAGGATTGGGGAGCAGATGTTAAAGCTTCCTTTAAGTTGTTAAATGCATCCTCGCATTCCTTTGTCCACAAGAATCTTTGCTTGCTCTCTGTCAGCTTGTGAAGTGGTCTTGCGATGGAAGAAAAGTTCCTTCACGAATCTCCTATAGTAGGTGCAAAGCCCTAGGAAGCTTCTCAGCTGATGGACATTTTCGGGACGCGTCCAGGATTTAACCGCTGATACCTTTTCAGGATCCGTGC